GTTTGTTAACTTTAACTTTCTGTGACAGACATCCTTGAGACTTTCCTTACTACAAACTGAGCTAGTGAAACCTGGTGATTTAAGACGTTATAAATCTGGGATGGATGTTTTATAATAATTGACAAGAGATGCAAAGAAATCACCTAAGACTGTATACTCAGTAACTAACACTCGTTACAAGTGTTAAAAGTAAGTACAGTTTACTCATTAGCAATAAAATACAAAGTAAAGATTATATGGGTTTTTTTTATGTCTTAAAATTCATTTATTAAAGAATATTTATAGGAAGGTAACAACTTTTGATTTGTTATTTAAAAAATTGGGTTTCTTCATGCTGCGTAGTAAGTGCATGTAAGTGGCTAAAGTTACGAGCTTTCTACTGGACTTCTCCGACAGCACAGCACAATGGAGTAATTTCTGCATTGCTAGAAATAATTTAAAAAGTCTCTTCTAAGTTTCTCTTCAAAAAGCCAAGAGTAATAACAGAGGATGGCATAAAAAAGCCATTTCCCCCCATTCATTTTGTAGTATTGGAGGCAGCATTTTTACCATCACAGGCTACAATTTTCACTTGATCCACTTTAATAAGTTCTGTCACCTCTCTGAATTCAACATCATTCAAAACAAAAGTCCACACATTATCACAGAATCTGTACATATTTAAAGAGCCCCTGAAATTGACTCTGTTCCTGACTCTCTGAGCCAATGCTGAATTGATATCCTTATCAAACTGAAGGAGAACTTGAAGAGCAAGCTGGGGGGTTATCTGTTGAGACTGAATAAGCTCATCTAGGCTCTCTTGAAGACTGTTTCCCAAGGTGGTATTTCTGTATAACTGATAAGCCATGGCTTAGGTGGAAGGAATTGTTTTTCCTATTCAGGCTTGCGTTGATGTCCTGTGCAGAAGGCGTTTCCGCCACAGAGCGGACAGAAGCCCAACAGCAGAAGCCTACTTCCCGACCACCTCCTCCAGCACCTCTATGTGTTGTTTCATAAGGACACACACACACACACACACATATTAGGCAGACAGTGGAGTTTTAAAATTTAAAAAACTCAGCTTTTTCTATTAAATTGTATAGTTTGAAAAGAATATACATATTCATTTTGTTTAAATAGTTTCTTTCCCTAACTTTATTTTTACTGAATATAGTGGACACGGGGAGCGTTTACCTGTGGAGATACACACACATGCGCACGCACGCGCGCGCACACACACACACACACACACACTGCTCTAACAAACTTACAAAGAATGCCTGTGGGCAAGAAATTAGATGTTCATAGATTTGGTCTTTCTTTTAAAAAAACCAAAACTCAACCAAAACCCCCTTTGTTAGTTTGTTGAAGTTACCTTTTTCTTCTTCCCTCAATTTTGGCCATTTTGTTTCAGGACTGAAAAACATTCGAAAAATATGGAAGGCTTTGCGATGGGGCTTTCTCCCCATACATTTCTTTTTTTAATCTGTACCAAGGTCTGGATGCATATAATACTGGTAATACTTATATAAGGGTGATAAAAATCTTTGAAATACACCAGACAAATAGACACTAACTATTTGCCATCTCTACCTGGACATCAACTAGGTATTTTAAATTTACTATATGTAAGATGGAACTTGATTTCTCCCCCAGTCTGATCTTCTATGTCTTCCCTAGCTAAGCGATTCTGAGCTCCATCCTTCTAAGTGCTCAGGCCAAAGTTTGCATGCCCACTCTTTTCTCTCATGCTTTATCACCCACTAACAAACCCTGAGAGTTCTCCCTTCAAGAACTCATCTGGCCAGTCCTCACTTCCTTTACTCTTTCCATCCAATCTAAGATATGCTCAGCTCTCCTGAGCTATGACAGTTGTCTCAGTTATAGATGTCCACCCTTATGCAGCAACAATAATAAACTTATTTTTAAAAATTAATATAATCCAAACAGTATTCCTTTGTTAGAATCTCACTAGTTCTAATCACTGATAGAAAAACTGCAATCAAGGGCCATCTATCTTACTTCTCAACCATTCACCTTCTTGCTCATCCCATTCCTGCCACTAGTATCAGGGATGTCAAGTGGCAAATAGTGATAGTAGAACTGTATACAATAGTCTAGACTAGCTCTATTTGCCATTTGCTTGTCTCTGTCATTCAATTTTCTTCTTAAATATTTTTTCATTATAAAGGCTACCACCCTATCAGCATTCACTTTTCCCATTTTACATTTCTTCTTCTACAGACCTATTGCCACATGTGATTTTATTTACTCATCTCTTTATCTATGTCCTCTGACAAGAGTATCAGAAAAGATTCTCTGCTTGTTCATGACTATATCCTCACTGTTCAGGCCAGTAGCTTAGCAAGTAGGCCTTAATAAATATTTGTTGACTGACAGAACTGATAAAGGGATAAATAAGACATTTTAGGTTACTGGTTACTTTTCCTCTATTTTGATACATGACAGCCAATCATTGAAAATAATACATTGTTGGCAAGTCCTTTGCAACTTCAAAGCAGAAACAAAAACCCCAGCTGAACAACAAATACCTCATGACTAGCTTTCTCAGGAGAAGAGTAAGAACCACTTGGAACATTTGAAAATACACAGGTCTTAACCTAACTACTGATGAATCAGATTTAGAAAGTGAAAGTGGGAAAGAGGCAATTGTGATTTTAACCATTCCCCAAATACTTCTGATTTCCAGTTCCTGAGGAAGCGTGCCAAAAAGGCATGTGTTAAACTTTGCAGTAAAGAAAATAGTTACACATTATCTTCTTAAAACCCACATACCTGACTGGGGGCTCAAAAATATTGCTGTTTTTTGTTTCTTTTTTTCTTCATGTAAAAGCACTGCCTAAAAAATGAAATAGACTGGTTTATAAAATCAAAAGGAATAGCATCAAAAACAGCCTTAAAATGGTAACCATATCCAGGAAGGACAGCTGAAATTAGAAAACTTAGTAGCAAAGTTCTACAAGCAAATTAAAAGCAAGATTCATCTGCAGGGGACAAGCTGCCTAGTCACCCAGTGCCTGCAAGCCTCACCGCATAGTACCAGGCCAGGTGAAAGGAGTAGAGGCCACCAGTCGGAAGGAAGAGCTGAGTCTTAGGTTCTCCCTGCTTCTGCAGGACCTGGTACAGAGCTTTCAGCACTCAATAAGGGTTTCCTCAGGATAGCTTCTAAATTCTGAGCTAGATTTACCTGAAAAAATGGACCAGTTGGGTTCAAAGAACTAGGTGAAGAAGGAGGTCCAAATATACTGTGTGATTTAGACAAACCTAAAGAAAGAAATTAGCACTTTTGTTCCTATTTTAAATTGGAAGCAAAGCCTATACGTTGAAACTATCATATAAAGATTTTCTATTAAATAGAACAGAATGTCCTCTCAGCATATTGTGTGTATGCAACAATATATTTGAAGAAATAGGAAAGACTAGTATCATTTTTACAAAGGAAGAAACTGACATTAATTACTACTGAAGTTAATTCAGTATACTCTTCTACTATTCCCTTATTTTACTTTTGAAATATGATTATTTAAACTAATGTGTACCAAGATGCTAGATGTGTTGTTTCTCTGATTTGCTGGCCACCACCCCCAAACCTGCCAAAACTACTGCTCTATCCTGAGAATTTCATTACTAGAACACTTCAAACTTGCTAGCAAATAAGAATACATACATCAAAGCTAGGAGTGTGCACAGGGCACTTCTTCATGGTTTTGCCCCACAAAGTGGAGCTTTATGCTATTAGTAGAGTTTTCTCATCTTTAAAATGGTTCTGTTTAATCCTCCACTTAAAATCATGATAGTAAATGCTATGAAAATTAAATGAGATCATTCATGGTAAGTATTTAAAATAGTTTCTGACTACTGGAAATGCTCAATGAATGTTAGTTACAGCTAATAGTTTAATTTCCTTTAAATAAATCTTCCTTTTATAATCATAATTTATTTTTGGTATATGTTCTATTTTAAGGTAAAAAAGCTTAAATTTGCTCAAGCTCCTTAAAGTAATAAACTCTAAAATTTTTACATGAACTATTACAAATGTTTTTCCACAAACACTTTTTATAGAGTAAGAATAATTACTTCCTAAGTATTCTTCCCCTTTGTTTGGAAAAGAGTGTATGTAAATTGGTTTAAAAATCATAAGTTATTAAACCCATGTAACCAGTACTTTTTGTTAAAAAGGTGCTCACAGTAGACACCCATTAAGAGAAATGACCAATCTGTATGCAACACAAAGAGGCAAGATTTATGGATGACTCTGAACTATTTGCTAATAGAGCTTTTCTTAATCACAAGAGTAACTATATTCACCATATACTCCCTCTAACAGGCGTAACTGCCAATAGTATTATTTCCTGTGTGATGCACACCATTAATGAAGTCAGCTGCTAACTTTGAAACACGATACAAGAAAAGTGTGACCATTCTACTACTAAAACATCAGCTATTAAAATCACAGGAAGCACATTTTACTCTGTCATGCATGGGATTACCTAGAATCAGAGCTGATTTGATAGTAACTGGTGTATATCCATCTTTACCCTTGCTTTGCATGTGGAATTTGTATTTAAGGGAAAATATAATCTGCATACAAAAATATGGAATCCCAAGGTAATTTTATCTATTGCATCTTACCTGTTCAACTGGGTTTTCATTTCCTAGTTAGATGTACTGAGCAGTGACGCTCAGATGTAGCCTGTGTTCTGGGTACTTACTTGGTCTGTATTTTTAGATACTGGGAATGATTAGGGACATTTCAGTTCGTAACAACCTTAGAAAAGTGGTTTTAAGATTCTAAATAAAATTACGTATCTAACATATACAGAGGCTTAGGATTCAAAGTGGGGGTTTTTAATTACTTATAAAAAAAAATCTACCCTTGAAAAGTATGTAAATATAAGAATACTTAAATAATGTACTAATATAATAAGAGTAAAAATAATTCTGAAGAAATTTCTCTTAAAAGATCAGTGTGAACACCAAGGTGTGGTTGGTGAGCATACCTGGTGAGCCTTTAAACTGAGGGCATTCTTTTTTAATGTGCCCTTCTCTTCCACAAATAAAACAACGCTTATCTCTTAAACTGTCTCTGTCATCTTGTCTCTTCCACTTGTCCACTGGAGGTCTGAGAAGCTTCTCTCTACCCAGGTCAGCAGCAGCCCTCGAGGGCTTGGCTTTCTGAGATGTGCGCTGCAGGGACTTATCTTCCTTTGCTGATATCTCCTTTTCTGTGTATTTCTTTTGGATGTCTTTGTCTTCTTTGCTTCGTTTTTCTTTGCCCTCTGGGTATCTTTGGTTCGGAGTATCCTCCTGATCTCGCCGTCGCCTCACTCTGTAGAAAATACAATTCCAGTAGAAAAATACAAAGAGAAACCTAACAAAACATAAAGATCTCTTCAGATATAGATTACAATAAATGGAAGGTATCAAGGGGAAAACAAAGAAATTAACACATATATTCCCTATTCAAAACTATCTCAGAGCTTAAGATGCAGTTTTTCTTTTTTTGCTTTCACACAACTGCCCTTGTGTCACTTAATCAAGCTCATTGGTTCGATACTTATTTTGATACTAAGGTATCAAAATTCAAATTACTCAAGTTTGAGAGACTCTTTTGGAATAACCTTTCAGGTATGATTTTTAGCAGGCAGGTATGATTTGGAATAACCTTTCAGGTATGATTTTTAGCAGGCAGGTATGATTTTTAGCAGACAATTGAAATTTAGATACGAAACTTTAAGTTCCATAAGTGAACAATCATTTTAAGGAGATTTATGTTCTTAAAATGTCAACATGATTTCTCTTCACCGTCCTATGTAAAAACCAAAGCACAGCCACTGTGGTTGTGTTGATCCCGCCCGTGATGATCCTCTCTTGCATTTTTGAGGCTGTAAATCTTAATGGAAGGAGAATGCCCATCTTTCTTCAGGAGAGTGGCTGGTGACTTCAAGTGGCTGACCCTTCGGTTAGTAGTTTAGCATGCAGCATACCATGGTCTGAGACTGTTGTTCCTTGAATAGTCATAGAGGAGCTCATCTAATTTCAGATGATCACTTATTGGTGAACATAATTTTGAGTAATATACTAATATAGAGTAAAAAAATCTACTATCACCCAAATCAATATATCCGAGTAAAAAATCTACTATCACCCAAATAAATATATCCTAAGCAAACAACTAAAAATGCACACTTCACCTCAACTAAACCAACAAGAGGAAAACATGACGATTAGAAAGTAAAGATTATCCATGTGTAGCATTTGTTAAAAAACCATCTGCTGCTGAGCAGACTGACTCATGGCAGCTGTGTGTGTGTCAAAGCCTAACAGTGCTCCTACAGTCTATTTTAATTATTTTCTTCTGTTACCGTTAAGAACATAACACAGGGGAAAAAATCCTCAAATTAATTAAAATTTCTACATGTTTATTTCAGTAATATTGATGACATTCTTGTTTTGCCATTTTCTCCCTTCTTTTCTGAGTTGTTCTTCCCCCATATAGTGAGTTCAATGTCCCTAATACTCAAGCTTCCTAGATAATATTTCAAGTTATTGTTGTCAATCTGATGCAATATACAGATCTGAACAGAGAGAAGGGCTCAAGGCAAGGACTATTTACTAGTTAAGCAAAAAAATATTTTTGTGTGTGTTAGGAAGACTTTAGAGGATTCTTTTGACATAAAGATTATCTTAAGGCAAAAATTTAAACAGCCTCCATGGCTCTAGAAATTATGGATTCCATGACAATCTGAAATTCTGTTTTATATTCTGCTACAGAATTTCTGACCAAAATGTTCAGAAGTAGTAGCCAAACATCATTCAGTATTTCTGTTCTGATGGCAAGGAAACTGTTGTTTGCAGAAGTTATTACTACAATATTTTTCCCTCCTATTCTTAACCAGGGAGCTCTGGTGCTCTAGTGCAATACCTAAGGCACAGGGTTTGAGGTTACCAGGCATTCTGTGGGAGAAAGATGGGTGATCTCTTTCCGTGTGATCAACTGCCTCTGAAAATCTGCCGCAGGGTCAGCTATGGGTTGGTTCAGACTCTATGGTAAACAACAACAACATTCTTGACCACCAGCTGCTCCATAAGGAGAAAGATGGGCAATCTTCTATGAGATTTACTGTCTCTGAAAACCTGCTGAAGGATCAGCTAGGGGTTGGTTCCGACTTGATGGCAAACGACAACAACAACAACTCTTGAAGTTCCTTCTCTTTACTCAAGCAAATAGATCAAATGACTTCTTCTGAAGGACAGTTGCAAGCTTTTAAAACCCTAGGCATTATGCAATGACGCAGGAAGTAGAAGAGAGGCACTAAACATGTTACTTAAGTCAATTAACTGGGATGCCTCAGAAGTTATGCCCCAAATCCCATGAGGTGTTTGCATGAATATAATCTACAGGGTTTTCAAGATCTGACTTATCAGAAGTAGACTTCCAAGCCTTTCTATTGAAAAAACTGTATGGACTTGGATGTCCCATCTTTTGAATATAAATCAAGTATGTTAACTGTTTGTACTACCCAGGGACTTGACCACATTTATTAGTTTAGGGTTAAACTAAGTACAAAGTACTAGGAGCTCTAGTGGTATACTGATAGCCAAAAAGTCAGTAGTACTAATCACCTTTGGGAGGTAAGTGAAGGTAGTCTGCTCTCATTAACAATTCTAGCTTAGAAACGTGGTGAGGGTCCCCATGAACTGGAATCAACTAAATGGCAGTGGGTTTGGGGAGATTCTAGAAATCAGTTAATGTAAATCTCAACATTCTACATTTCAGTTATTATACATAAGATAACTGGACATCTAAAGGAACTAATTTGTTTCACTGACTGAAATGATGCTGACTACTGTAAAAGAGAACACTTACAAGCAACAAATGCTGGTGAGGTTGTGGAGAAACTGGAACCCTTATTCACTGTTGGTGGAGTGTAAAATGGTGCAACCACTATGAAAGGCGGTATGGCGCTTTCTCAAAAAGTTGCAAATAGAGATACCATTTGACCCAGCAATTCCACTACTGGGAATATATCCCAAAGAGACCATAACTGACATCCAAGCAGATATATGCACACCCATGTTTATCATGGCTCTGTTCACAATAGCAAGGAGATGGAAACAACCTAGGTGCCCATCAACAAACAAATGGATAGAGAAGCTGTGGTATATTCACACAATGGAATACTATGCTGCATTGAAAAACAAGGAACTTATGCAGTATTATTCAAAATGGGTGAGCCTGGAGGACATTATGCTGAGTGAAATATCTCAGTCACAAAAGGACAAATATTGCATGGTGCCACTGTTGTAAAATGGGATTGATATCAGGGTTGGGGTAAGACTGAGAAAACTGGATAAATTATTTATACTGCACTGAAACAGATGAAGGAGTGAAAAATTTAAAAGCGATGTATGATAGGGTATTATGGTTATCACAAGAGTCCACAATTAAGGTTGCATAGTGGAGTGTACTTGGGGCAGTGCAAGGGGTGCGGGGGGATTGTGTACCAGGGAAGGAGTGTTTCTTTTACTTTTGAAAGAGAGGAGCGAACTTGGGGAGGAGGGGGGAGAGAAGTGCAGCAATGAATGAATGGAAATCCAAAATCTCTGTAAATGCTCATTAAAATTATTTTTTTTTAAAAAAAGAACATTTGAATTTCCCTTTTTAAAGTTTTATCCTTGTCAGTCAAATGATCAAAATTAGGAGGAAGACTAGGTCTAGATGATTATCCTCATATATCTAAGTCAAAACTCGTCACCTACACTTAAAATTGTATTTAAGTAACTTTATTTTAATTAAAATTAAGGAAAAAATGTAATTTTGTAATTTGAAAGCTGTCTGATTTGATACAAATTTAATTCCTCTACTTCAACAAAACTTCATTTAAACTCTTAAACAATAAGAAAATTAAAACCTAATACTGTTGCTTCTCCAGTTTAACTTACTTTCTTCTCATAGGACAATCCTTCATGAAGTGTCCAATTTTCCCACAGATTCGGCAACATCTATCATTTGGAGCCAGTTCTCCTTCAGTTAGTACATCTGGATCAAAAAAATACTCCTAGAAGGACACAGATATAAAACAGAAACACGCAAACTAAGGAGATAGCAAACTTATATCTCAACTTTGACCTGCCCTTAGTTTTAATAAATATTACTAATTTTGTTCTGGTCCAGGAGAGCTTTACTTAAAGCCACACTTGCTATTTCTTACATTATAAAGTCCCGATCAATCCTAATCATAAGGCTACTCTTTTCACAGGCTTATTCTATAAAAGGTACCATTCATTGCAGTGAGTTCACGTCGCCAGTGTTTAGGAGGCAGAAGAGACCAGGTATGTAGACTGCTTTTCTCATCAAGAAAAAAAATCCTTAAAAAGAAAAATATAAACAACAATTTGTCTTTATGTGTTGCTGTGGTTTCTGATGGAAAAAATAACTGAAGAAAGGAAAAAAAGAACCATCAGGACTTTAGTTGTGTTGCTACTCAAATTAAGAAGCAATAATGGCATCATCTGGTAGTATGTAAGAAAGAGACTACTGGACCCCATCCTAGACCTCTGAACCAGAATCTGAATTTTTGGAAGAGCTTCAGGTGATTTATATGACCAACTTTAAGTTATTAGTGATGCAGAAAAATGCCATAGAAATACTTAGCAAAACCCAGCGCATATTATTAGGAGGCCTTGTCTTTAGGGTATCATGCTTAGAAAGGCAGAGGGTCAATGAAAGACAATCAATGATATGGACTGACACATGATGATGAGGGTGGCAGGATGGGGCAAGGTTCAGATCCAATGTTCACAGGGTCCTAGCTGACTTGACAGCACCTAACAACAACGATGACCACAAACTAATGGAGCTCTGATGGTGTAGTCAATAGTGAGCTGCACCAACTTGACCTCATAGTTATCTATAGACTAATGCACCCCCAAAAAGCACAGTATACCTTCTTCTCCAAAATGCATGGAACATTCTCTAGAATAGATCACATTCTAGGTCACAAGGCAAGCATCAGTAGATTCAAAAACGTAAAATAATACAAACCATCTTGTCAGACCATAATGCCACAAAATTAGAAATTAATAATAGGATGATAAAGGAGAAAAAAACCACACATTTGGAAGCTGAACAACACCTTGCTTGAACATGACTGGGTAGAAGAAGAAATAAAAAATGAAATTAAAAAGTTTCTTGAAACTAATGACAATGAAAACACCACTTGCCAAAACCTCTGGG